GAATCACTGCTCAGCTCTTGGAGCAGGGCTCTCAGCTCCAGCGGACAGGCATGTCCCTCTGGCCTCCTGAGTTGCTGGAGCAGCCCAGGAGAGCTCATTTTGTTCACTTCACCCAGATGCTGGGGGCTCAAGGTCCCCTTTTCTCCCTCCCTGGACTCAGAAGCACTTTGGGGTCATGGCCAGGATGAGCAGGGTGCTGGAGATGTCACACAGCTCCTTGCTCCTTGCCCCATGCTCCAGCTTGGGCAGAGACTGCAGGGATTTGCACCAAAACGTGGGTGTAAAGGGCTTTGAACTGCTGGTGAGAGGGGCTGGATCTGGCAATAATGGCTTATTGTCGTTATTGTGCTTTGCTTTCTGTGGTTCATTTAAGCTTTCCCCTAGATGCTCACCACCCACTAGCTTGCCTCAGGAGTCGCAGAGATAACCTGGATATGTACCAGGTGTAGGGATCAACTACCGGGGAATAGGCAAGCCTGTATCTGCTAGTGGGATGACTCTTGACTTGATGTGGGAAGCGGTTCACCTTTGGATGAAGTCCTGAGATGGCCATGCCGTGGCTGTCCTTCTCTTACCCGCTGCTTGCTCAGTGACTGGCTTGGGGAGGCTGCAATGTGGCTTTGGGATTAACCCAGAAAAGACCTTGTCTACAAGTGGATAACATGCTCTTTAGTGGAAGCAGGGGGCAGGGAACACTCAAAAAGGCCCCATGGGCATCAGGGACCCAGGAGGACAGTGTTTTGGACATGAAAGGGACCTGACTGCTTCTGGTGACTTCAGTCCCAGCTCACATCTGCCTGGCTGTCAGTAGATGAAATATTCCCTGTCCCAATTAGACAGTAGGATGAAGGATTTTATGCTGCTGAGTGCATTCTTCAATGGTCTCTGCAGGGTGTTAAAGGTAAAAAAAGAACCCCAAACAGCCAGTGCCCAAGACCCCTGCACAGCATTAGACTGTTTCACTGCTTCAAAAGAACAAGTGAATTATGTGAAGTGATACAATAAAATTAATAACAGCCTTAAGAAGTAATAAAAGCATCAAATGGACCTGAATCCCTGTGGAGGCAGTGAGCATCTCCCTCTCCTGGATTAGCTCTGGCAATATTTTCCTTGCCATTTTCAGGTGGTGCTGGTCAAGCATTAGGAGAGGACTGCAGCTCCTCTCCAGCAAGCCCACAGGGGCTCAGCCTCCCTGCAGCAGGGCCAAGCCGTTAGCTGTGTTTTAGCTCACATAGTAAAAGAACTCAGTACATGTGCTTCATGGTATCCAGGATCTAAACAAATGCATGGAGCTGGCACTTTGTATCAGATTGCCAGATGTGGCATCCCAAAATGAGGTCTCAAAATTGAGCCCCAAAACACATAGGCATTTAAATGGACACTTTGCGCCCCTGTCCTTGGAAATTCATGAGGTTGAACAATGAAGCAGCCATCTTTTGCCACCTCCCCATGAGTGTGTCACTCTCCAGTGCATTTTGTTGGCATTTTTTTAACTCCTACACATACATCTGTGCCTCTTGCTGATCCCTAGGTTTGCACCATAATATAGGTCAGGCCTCTTCCAAAAAGGATTTGAGGGTCAACACAGTGCCCAGCCCAAGCCCCAACACCCCAAATTCCCTGAGGATCTCCTTTTGCTTAGTTGGAGGAAGTCCTGCTCTGACAAGACCTAAATTTCATTCTCTCTTCTCAATCAACATATCCATAAAAAGGACAATAAAAAGGGACTTGCTTTAAGGGAGAGAGCACTTGCTTAAACCTAATTCAACCACACTACTATCCCTTCTTCAAAGGGCATGCCTGGTCAGAATTGTCCATCTAATAGATCAGATCTCCTTTGAAGATCTCCCGCAGGGACAGGGTGTCATTAAAAATGCAAGGTCTTTGCCCTGCAACCAGTTATTTTTACAACTCTTCCTGTGCTTACACTCCTGCACAGTTCATGAGCATTAGCTAGTTTCAGTAGTCTGGTAATGCACTGGGCATGAGAGCCGCTTTGGAGACATACTCAACAGCACGCTCTCTATATGCCTCTCTCATATGTTCCAGCTCTCTCGGAGATCCAGAGGCAAATCTGGCTTTCAGGGACCTGCTGCCAGCTTGAGATTTGCTTCTACAACAGTGGGAAAGCTGCCATGTGGTGCAGTTCACTGCAAAATGCTGCAGGCCATGCTAGGCATAGTGCTTCTGGGCACCAGCACAAATAGGGGATTTTTCTGTTCTTGCTACTGCTGAATAGACTCTTTGGATGGAAACATTACTTATATCTCTGTAATGACTTGAAAGCATATACCAGAGAGACAAAATTAATCCAGAGGTAGAGAGAAAAGAGGCCAGAAAGAAAGGACCCAGAGGGGCTAGTGCTTAGCTCTACTCCAGTCTGCCATGCATGGAGTCAAGTAGCAGCCAGTGAAGCCCCCAGGAAAGCTTAGTGGGGACACAGCACTCTGCACGCAGTCAGGTTAGGCTGGGTAGAGCCATGAATACATGTGGTCTTGGCTCCCCAGAGGGACTGGTATTGGCAGGACAGAGCTAAAATCCATGGGGACCAGTGTGAGTCTGCACACTGACCTTGGAGGGCTCTGGATCTGTGGTACTCAGTGGTTAATTACAGTCTCCAAAGACGCTAGGACTTTGTTTTCTTTTCTCTCCTTCTCTCTTGAAGATGATGCTGGAATGAACACACCTTAATGTAGCCAGGACTGGGCCAAGGTCCATCCTGATTTCTTTTCAAATTGCCTCAGTATCTTAAATATCTCCCGGGACTCACCCTACAGAACAACCTGCTCTTCTTGGCTGGATCCCCTCCTTCTGCTTCCTTTTTGATCTCAGTCGATGTTTTGTAGAAATAAATATCCTTTAGTTTTTGTCACAATAATTTAGCCTCTGCCACACTGAAAAATGGTCTGCATGATTGTCATGTGTTGATTTTCTCTGCTCCTTTGCACCTTTTCTGGTTTTTTACTGCTCTGAAAACATCAGTTGCCAACGCCTCCACAGAGATCGGATGAAGAAACAGGTCTGGGCTAAGTGAAACTTTTGCCCCCCCCAGTTTGCCTATAATGTGTTTTCAATCTAAGTGGTGGAAATGTCACTGACTCTGTTTGCAGTGTTCACTCAAGTGGAATTAATGCTTCTTGTTAGTGATAATATGACTTAATCAGCTTAATTATTGTGAGACATAAGTAAACACCTTTGTGTATTGAATAAGTTATGACACACTGGACTAAAAAGCACGAATAAAGGCTTTGAAAATAAATTAAATATGACCTCTAGTGCAGTCTGCACTTTGACTAATGATTCGTCTCCCATGAAATTCAATGATTTACAAATCTTATATTTGAATAAATGATACATTTTTGCATGTTTTAAACAATAGCAGCGAGTTTTATTTCAGCATTTGGAATTCAAAGTGTTTCTCTAATGCCAGGAAGCAGGGCAAACAAGTTCATGTTAAACGGATTGAAAAATAAAACATTTGTGCATTCAACCATCAGAAACACATCCAGAGGATCTGCAGGCATCTGTGATAAGATATTTATTTTAATTCATTGCTGGGAATATCTTCAACAACAGGTGAAAAAATGCATCAGAAGAAATGAAGAGAGAGTGAAGATTCCCAGAAGGGTCACTAAGGTCTTCACATCAAATCCGTTCATTTCAATAATGTCTACAACA